TTATGTTACGGGAAAATTCGTAGCATGCAAAAAGATGAAGTTGCGGAATTATGCAGTGCTAAAAATATCTGGAAAAAATTCAACGAGCACAGGATTACAATTTAATTATGGATCTGTTCTTTTATTTACAGCGGTTGTGTATATAGCAGGAATAGTCGCTGTTATCGCCTCCATCGTTTTGGCGATCCTAGTCGCTCTGACTGTGCTTCAATTAGCGATGGCCTCCTCCGCGAAGCGAGTTGTAATTTCATACAGCACTGCCCTAATAGCCAAAGTTGGCCTCGCTACAGCGGCGTGTGAGTATAAATTTTCATTAGTATTTCCAATATAGAGAAAAGCCATACAAAAACCGAGTATATATTTACAGCAAAGTGGCACATAGCGGCGCCACGGAAACACAGATACAAATTATAATTCTATTAGTTGTAGACCTTTATGACATAATTTACTTTATATAATACGATCGAAGAGAAATTCTTTTTTAAAAGAAGCACAAATCTCTTGCTCGTTCATTAAGTAATATAAAATAATGTTTAATTAAGGTTTTATTTTATCACAAAGAAATTAATTATGATAAATGGTAGCGTGAAACATTAAATAATTGACATATCAAAGATTATATTAATTTGCTAAAAAATAATTTATATTATAAATAAATTATGTGGAAAAGTTGTAGCTTTGTGCGAGCACTTTAATCAAAAGCTCATTACTTTATTATCTCATGAAAAGTAAAAAAATTGTCTGAAAAAAGAGATTTAATATATTATTTAGACAGCAACACATTATCTAAATAAATATGTATTATCTTTAATCCAGTGGCCATCTATAATCCAGTAGCAAGAAAATTATATCAGTAATGTACATAATCTTATCTAAAATCTCTAAAGTCCTCCATAGATTTTAATTCGAAGCATGATGCATGGTATCTCGTAATTAATATCACTACTGATCTGTTATTATTATGTATATTTTTACGTTTTTATACATTAATTATTTTTGTTTTTATTATTAAGAGTCTTATTATTATAAAAAATTAAAATTTATTGCATACATCTTCCGAGATTATGTACTAACTTTTTGTTACGCGTATTTATGTATTCTACGTTATGTAATGTATTATTCATTGCGGTCCAAGGCCTTGACGTACGAAAGTACGAAGAATCCGAATCACGTTTAAGCGTAGACGTTCTTTTTGTCATAGCACGTAGTAGGTACGTAGTTTTGCAATACTACAGGCACGTAGTAAAATTACTGCTCGCTCACTCGTCTACTTAGTGGCCTACTTACGAGCCTTTATACCGAGCATCGAATGTCTGTGGTAGATCGTGTTACAGTAAACCGATATATTCTAATGCCAAGACAGCGCCGTGTTCTCCCTCCCTTACTGTGTTAATGACTTTGCATGTAAATTAAGGAAAGATCGGACATATCCTGCATTAGCACCCGATTTCCATTCGTGTAATAGCAGATTGACAGGACATGAGAAATTTTGTAGAATTTATTATAGACATCTCTTTTTTCATGCTACTTACAATTGAGTTTGCAAAATTAAATATGTAATATATTAATTAGGTATGAAATATTACTATAAGCTTGAAAATAACAGAGTTATTAATTTTTTAATCGTCTACGATTGGAGACTAGAAGTTTTATAAATATTGTTTGATATTTTTTCAGTTGTGTTGTCGATTCTGGCAGCGTGCCTTTTTGCCGTACAAACGGATGATCTAGCAAAAAGCTTCGTAGTCACGAGAGGACCCGCTTTTTATTTGCAGGTAATGTGGATTTTTTGTAATAGCATGATAGATAACTATTAGAAGTATTTCTAATAGTTAGATTTATAAGAAACAATTTTAATAGTAGAATACAAAATGTATTTGAGTGTGAGATATTTTATTGAAAATAACATGAACTGTGCATTACGAAAGTCCGTAATGCTTTCCTCCCATTACAAATAAAGTAGTAATGTTTTTGCCACATACCTTTCCGCATATGCGCATTAGCGCTGCTTTAACATAACGAATCGATTTCGTTGCTAATTTATTGAATTTGCACGTGAAAAATGTATAGAGTGATAATTTTATTTCTCCAATGCCATCAACGCAACATGCACTCGCTAATGCTTCCATAACGAGTGTCCTTCTAACTGGTTTCTCGTTCCGTTGAATTAACACCGCATCGTTAACAATTTTAGAGGTAACTTTCGATGACCGCTCGATGCGTTCTGATCTTCGAGTCTCTAACTTCTTCCACTTGATATACCGTTAGAACACATCATTCGTCGACGTCATTCACTGGTTTTCGGAACCTGTTGCACGCGGAAGCAGTTGCACGCTCTGCACTTGCTTGATTTTATGCATTTCTACATTTATATGTACATTTGATACGTCGATACAGTGGTGCTCAAACTACGACTTGTAGAAAATATCGGACCAAAATTAATACACCTCTCATTATGCACAATTGTAATGTAGAAATTTTTTTCCACAAAAATTCATATTTACACGAAAAAAAATTTTTTATTACAATTGGTACAATTTCGCTGTATATTTTATGATAATTATAAATAAACATTTACAAATATTGTTTTAAGAAAAATAGTATTAAAGTCGCAGAATTACAAATTTTGTACTTAATTATATTGATTAATTAAGCTGCAGAGGTACGAACAGATACGAAAACCACGTCATAAATAATATCACGTAGCTACAACTGACTTCATATTCATAAAATGATCTGTAATCAGTGGGAAGCATTGACTTGTATATCCTGCATAGCCAGCTATGTATAGAAACCTGTCGCGTTCAATAGACGAAGAGAATGATTTATGTGACAATTTCCTGACGAAGCGTTTCGCTTCAGAGGCAGGTGCCCAGAGTTCTAAGAAGATTAAACCTCGTCTCAGACTTCACGTATCAGATGGTACCTAACTTATTGAACGCGAATAAGTCTGAAAAAAATATATTTTGATAAAGTTGGAAAAGATCACCGAAGGAAAGATATCGTTACTTGGCGTATGAGAAGTGATGGAACATCATGGTCGCTAAAAATATCCTATTCTCGTATAGCCACATAATTACGCCAAGGTGTCGACACACGTCACACACATACACGTATTTTGTACAGGAAAAATAGGCCACTGATTATTAGATTGATAAATTAATGTCTCTCATACGATAAGGAGAAAAAGAAAAAAACAATAACGGTTTTGATCAGTCTGACATTATTAATTATTAATAATCTGCTTAAAACCACAGGTATTACACGTAAAATAAAGATAAATCTTCATTAATAAAATACGTTGAATGTGCATTTGCGTAAAATTTAATCTAGCTCTCATTAAACCGATTTTAATACGGGTACAAACTAATTAAGAAATTTATTGAAACATTGCATTCGTCGCTGGTGATAAATAGTAATTTAAATTGGATATCGATCAAAGCACAATGTCGCGCGCGCGGCGGTGGCGGCAGTCGCGTATGAAAGGACGTCACGTTTTGTAAAACTGAAACGATAACGTCGCCAACGTACCTTGAGTTCCTTCTTATCGCAAAACGGCAGCTTGGGTTTCTCTCTATTCACGATCGTTAATCTCGAGTAGTACCCTCGGATTCCGTTGAGGAAACACTCAGCTGGTTATTATGATTTTCTTGTAGGTTTATTTAGGTTTATTCTGTACGTGAGCAGCAGAAGGCTATATAAATCCAAAGATTGTAGATAAATCCAGAATCATGAATAAACGGAAGTGTAATATATTCGCCAGAGAAAGATTAAGATAATCGTATTTGGAAGTTTTTTAAAATCGGACTTCATTCATACTGCAATGGAAATTTGCAAAATATAATATTATTGCAGAATGCATTCGCAGAAATTTGCAAAATATAATATAATATTAAAAAATCTTAAAAATATTCCTAACACTATACAATTTTTAAAAATATTATAATAAATATATTATACTTTTTTCATATATAAAGCGCTTTCTTGGTAGAATATTCAGAACTTGTCTCAGTAAGAGATGCGTTATTAAAAAAAAGAAATCCTTGCGACATTCTGAGAATAAAAAATATTTATGTAGACATGAAACGCCGCGATTTCTTATCTTAATATAGTTTAAAAATATGCTTGTTATTTCTCGTTTTGTTGTGGCAGGATATCTCGGTATATTACGATTTCTCGGCGAGATATCTCGTCGAGAGCCCGCAGATCTCTCTTTGTTCTGATGAAAATTCAGGGGTAAAGATTACAATATTACGAATATACAAAGGTGAATGCCCTACTGGATTTAATCCATTTTGCCGCTCAAATACAGAATATATATTACGTTTATATATATATATATATTATATTATGTTTAATTTCGTAGTCCATATATTGTAGAATTAAATTTAATTAATTAATTAAAAAGAAGAATGAACACGGTACATCCGGATGATTCGACTCGATTGTGCGATACACTTTCGTTCGCGTGCCAGTCAATCGGCCGGGAAACGTACATCCGACCGGAGAATTAAACGCTTAGAGGCCACCTGATCGTGAGCCAGGCTCAGGTGTTCCCCTAAGTCCTTTCCTCCCACCTCCCTTCCTCCCCCCCGCGACTTAGTTAATATGTGTCGGAGCAGGCACGACTGGTAGATACTTTTAAAACAATGAGTCGACATTGACGGACCCGCAGTGAGCGTTTCGGTGCCGTGAGTTGATGAAGTCGTCACGTTGTTCTCGTTCTCTTCGCGATAAGTGAATTTCTTTTGTTTTCCGGCTGCCATTTTCAGTCCTTTGTCGTGACACGTAAGTTTCGATCGTACTATTTCTTGTTTTTGCGATTAGCTATTACTTTTCTTAGGCACAGTTTTTTTTCTCCATAATTATTGAGAAAAACAAGCTAAAGAAAACAGAATTCTTGATCGATTGTTCGGTACGTCGTATTTCTGGCTCCGCGATAAGTTCGTTCCGACGAAGACAATCGTTTCTCGTCAATCGTTGCGTTAAATGACAGTTAAATGACAGTTGTATGCTGATGTCTTATCGCCAAAATTCTCCGATGATGGATAAAAAGAGACGGAGTCTCTTGAAGGGGGCCAAGGACGAAATCGAATTGGATCGAATGAATAAGCAGAAACAAGGCAAGGTAATGGCATCGCTCGGGCGAGCTTAATCGAATTAATGTACTCGCCCTTGCTCTCCGGCATCATATTAAGCGATATTGCACAATAATGTAATAATTTTTACACAGAACGCGCGCACAGGTGAAAAATAGCAAAGGAAATTGTCTTTTATTGCATTTGAATCGAAGGCTTTCGATATTTCTATAAAAAAAAAGAAAAAAAAAGAGAATTCTCAAGAATTAAAGAATTTATGATCGATGGTGAACTGAAGTGTGTAATAATTACGAGAAAATTGGCGCGGCGTTCTAAATCAAGTTACGTTTAAAATAACTTTGAGCAAGAAGCGTCGCGTAAAAACATTACCGTAGTAAGCAGCTTAAGTACTCCGCACAACAGCCGCTGTATCTCGCGGTGATTTTATCGCAGTACAATGAAATCGTTTCGCTCATACAGCGGGCGTTCCGCACGCCGGTTAAATAACGCGTAAAATGAAGAGACGTAATAGGCGGACGCGCTCATGGAATCGCGTGATTGTCGCGTAAACGACGTATTCATTCGCGTGAAGTAGCTCGCCTTGTCCAAACAGCTGCTCGCAGGTATCCCACTCAATGTTTCCGCACATTTTTCCACTTCCTTCCTCTTCGCGCTTAGCATACCAGCGGTGAAGAAGCTCTTTCGACGCGACAGGAAAAATAACCCACCGCCTGGGTAATCGAAAAGGGGTGGCGGAGAACCGACATACACCGACGGGGGTAGCACACTGGCACACGTTGCTCTCTTTTATCACGTCTCTCGCGTATAGGGGAGAGAAGCGTCGCGACGCTCGTCCCCAAGGAGGACAAAAAGAAAGGAGGCAAACACGACAAACGACCAGATTAATTATAGCGGTGGAACAACAATGGCGCGCGCGGCTTCTTTGTTGGCCCTAATTAAATTTTCCCCCCTTCCTCGCGCGCGCTCCTTCCACCCCATCCATCCAGCCGATCACCACCTACGGACGGTGCTTCTTCTCCTCTTCGTATCGATAGTGCACACGATGGGGATCTTCTAGTTACTCGTACGACGCGTAAGAAAGGACGACGTTCGTGAGAGAGGGCTTCGTTCGCGCGCGCGGCGACGTGTACGGGGTATACAATCGTCTCTCTCGCGAAATAATAGGAGCCACGGTATTGTAGCGCGCGTGTGTATGTGTATGTGTGTCTGTGCGTACTGTGTGTGTGTCATAGCGAAGTCTTGCTGTGACTCGGGTGTTTCAATGGAAATAACACGAGGGTGTGAGAAGCCGGTGAATTAGAGCAGCGGACGGCGGACTCAGTAATTGGCGCCTGCGAGCCAATTAGTGGGAAAGAAAATAAATGCACGATTCTCGGGAAAACAGTTTATCGCCAGTTCGTGTACGTAAAGTTCACACCCGGAGCACGTTCGTGGCTTCATTTGTGTTTGATTCTCGGATAGGTCGGATATATATTTTTTCATTTGACGCAAATAATCGCGTGAATTAAATTCACTCCGGAATGAACAGTCTGTAAACGCAACGTTTAGTTTTTGTTTAGTGAATTAATTTCGCCGTTATTGAATGTGAAGTGTAATTATGAGAGGTAAATGCAAAATTTGCGTATTTAATTTTATTTAACATGCAAAGCATGTAGTAAAAGAATTAACATTAAAAATAAAATATAAAATATAAAACATTTAAAATAAAGAATTTTGATATTAAAAAAATTGAAACAGTTTATCCTAATTTGCATACGCGAAACGTTTTTCGAATTTTGAAATTGCAAAATATGAGTTTTGTTTACATATCTCATATACTAATGTAACTGCAAATAAATATTGCAACGGTACAAGCGTAAAGTGTATGGTGGTGTATAAAAAAATTTGTTTTCGAGACCGTAAGAGAAGATTATATATGCTTTCTCATTTTCAAGGCCGTACTCCAATACGAATGCGTTGACGGATTACGAGTCTCAGTATGTAGAAGGTTACTTCATAGTGCATGTTGCGACACCACTTGTTATTTGCATATTTCAAGCTGCGTGCAATCCGCGATCTATTACGAAAGTATACAGCAAATTTTCAAATTATTATCTGCAAGCAACTATATTTTTTCTATTTCTTATTTTACAATACGATAAGATATAATGTGCATAAAAATAGTAACAATTTGCGAATTGTGCTGAGAAAAAGTGTTTGAACGATATGTTCTATATAGTAGGCAGTTTTGCGTGACCAAATTTTTGTCAAGGGTCTTTCAATAAATTGAGACATTTTTATCTGTCATTGCAGGTGTTTGCCATCGTTGCGAACTTTGCCGTGCTGCTGATCGCCATTTATGAGGGCATTTACGCCCGAAGAGGCGGCGACCCAACCAGAATTAGGATCGCCACGGATCCCCGTGCAGCCACTATAAATAATCCAGGATATCGGGAATATCACCAACCTACAAACGGTAAGGTCGGCGTGGACAGTCGTTCAATTTCTCGAGATCTCGGTTACGACTCGACCGAATTTCCTGTTCGCTTTTAATATCGTGCCAAGTAAGCGTGTCAAATGATAGCGGCACAATAACGTTAACGCAATCAACATCTAGACGCTCAAGGGAGTTCGTTTAACGTAAATGTATTTTTTTTTATTTTATTACCGCTCGTCTCTCTAATACCTCTCGTTAAATGCAATGAGCACAATAAAACAACGGTCCAATGTCTTGAATAAAAGATACGACAACGTTAACAAGCAAGCTTAAAACAATAATTGCAGCTTTTGCTAAAGCAATTTTCACACAAACGGCTAGTTTCGGATGATTAGTCTTTCAGTTACAATTTTTTCAAGCAAGATTAATATCTCCTTTTTGCGATAAATTACTCCATCGAGAAAATGAGGCATCTTTCTCCATTAAAGATCACATTTTTTCCCCTTGAAATACTCGACTTCGGCTCCGCCGTGAAGTTACAGTAATTTATATCGCGCGTAGGTTGTATTTGCCGATACTCGGCCGGCTTGCCCGAAAGAACCACGTTTAACGGGCTGACAGAAAGCCAATATGCTCCTTCGCGGGTGAGAAATATGTCTGACGTGAAGGTGATGAAGTTCTGAAGAACTTTGTGCGTAAGTGAACGCGCGGCCGGGGGATGGAGAAGATTACAGGGCGCGACCGTGCGGTCGCTGCAAAATCTTATACTATGGATACAGGATGTGCACAGGCGTGTATACGGTTCTAGCGGCAAATTGTGGTGTGTCCCAGCGTATTTGCCCGCTGCTGCATAACGAGGCAGTGTTGCGGTGCACCGAATAGCCCATCACAATACAGCGCGGCTATGTATAGCATATTCCACGTGTACACACTTTTGCCGCAACATCGCACGTAAAGGTCTCCTTCCGAATGTATCGAATCTAACCGCTGCAATTTACAGACGCGACCTTATTTTACGTTTGATCGTAAAGTAAAGTGATTTTTCGCCGACGCGTGTAAACTACGCGGCACGTTGTGTGTAATATTCTTCTATCCATAAAATACGATTCTTCTATTCATAAAATTTCGAGTTATATGATTCGGGCATAAATTGTTTTCATCATTTTTGCTTTTCGGTAATTGTATTTTTTATTTAATAAAAAGGCAATTTTTAATAACAGTATTTTTATTTTATTTTTTTAGTAATAAATTTATATAGAATATGCAAAAATCGTGAAATGGACGTGATGGTCGAAATTTTTCTGTGGCTAATGCATTTTGTAACTGACAAGCTCTGTGAAATTTCATTTGCATATTACATATTGCAACATAAATTTTGCCTTGCAGATGCCTCGCGATACACGTGAAATATGTTACGTACCTATCTATGATGTATTGCGCGGTAATAATATTTCTAATTCGAAAGTAATAGAAGCTCATCGGCATTAATAACGCAGCGAGAATTAATCGCGTCAATAATTTCATCTCGTCGCAGGTGGTAGTATCTCGATGACAGACGCCAGCGGCAAGCCATATGTCGGCGGTGCTGGAAACGGATCGACGGTGTCGGTGGCGACTTCCGGCAGCGTTGCCAGCACGTCCTCGCCTCTCAGAAGCTCCCTGAAGAAACCGAAACCCCTCGGTATTCACAATCCCGGCTTCTCGGCGCACAGCCCGACGTTGTCTAGGAATGGCTCGCAGAAGAAGGTACGTATACAGACGCACTCGACGGAAGTTTAGCCGACGCTCCAAGCACATTGTTACCGGCGAGTGCTCGCTACGTGACTGCGGTGTGTACAGCGTTACGGTCGTTTGCGGCTGCTGCGACAGGAAGTCGGAAGACTCGTTCTCTCTGTTCAAATTAGTCCCACGTTCCACTAACGGCAGGTGATCTCCGATGTAATTATCGTCGATTGATATAGCGAGGGAGAGATAGATCTGTAACAAAATTGAGAATGAAGTCTGCGTCGTACGGATCCGTTGTGCTGCTTTGTCGCAACTAATAGCCCGTAAGTTTCTCGTCGATGACGTCGCTTGTGATTTTGATAATGAGACTTTTAATGAGTTTCCTGCGAAGGTGCAGGTTGAATCATGCGCGAGTTTGGAATATCATTACGACGGCGGAATGTAAATAGAGTGATACATGCGATCGATCGTCGCCGGGATTCTGCGAAACTACCTGAGTTTTAAATATCAAACGAATACAGATTAAACGCGCGATTGATGGTGACTTGTTAAGCATCGAGTCACTCTCTTCATCACTTTTTTTACGATACCTTTATACATTCGTAAATGGACTAACAAAATACAAATAGTGAACTTTAAAAGTATTGGCGGGAGAGTAAGATGATGAGAGGCTATAGACGTAGAGAAATATGACATATCTATATAATATTGATGGAAACGGAAGAAATTTTGAGATTATTACAAGCACGGCGCATTGTTATTATATCGTAGCGTGGAAGAAAACTTGGAGGAAAAATTTGGAACGAGATAAAAAAATAATAAATTCTGACCTAATACGTCATATTTGTAAGTCTGATGTGAAGCGTTGATCAATAAAATTCGCATACATATTTATACAGGGTATTCATAATACATAAGTAGTAGATCGTAAATACTGAAGGTTTTAATAAAGAGAATTAGAGCATTGATTTTAATTTATTACTGATAAAAAATCAAACTATTTACTATTGCAAAGATATGTAGTAACAAAATCAGGGTTGCCAAAAAGCAGCAGAATGTGTCAGTATATTATCGATACTTATATTTAATATTGAAACAATCACTTGCGTCAAATTTACAGCAAGCAGAACTAAGCACCAATTTTTCAACGGGGACGAAATTACGATAAGAGTATATGAATTTTAACTAAATAGGAATATATAAAAATGTTTTACTAACGAGAATTCTTACAGGGTTTATGAAATTTAAGAATGCATTTTATTCTGAGGCTCTATAACAACTCATCTTACTCTCTCGCCTTCGTAAGTACATATCTATACGCCAAAAGAATAACGCAATAGCAACTAATGAGGGACAGGAATTCGTTGTAGCGTGGTGATCGTTAAAAGTTCGTACTTTCTTCGTGAAAGTTCAGCGAGCGATATGAAATTCATCGCCTATGCGAACGTACCAATCAGATCTCCATTTTACATTTTCATATTTTTCACAACGTGGGATTTAATTATGCATCGAGAATTTCTAAATAGAATCAGGCTTTTATTCTGTTTTATTACAAAAACAATTCCGAAAGGATCTTGTGATATAATGTACTCTGATTATTATTATTATTTTAGTCACGTTGCTGGAGAGTTTATTTAATTACATAACCGTATTTCAACTGCAATAAGCAACCTTTACCATTACCATTGAACTAAACACATCAAAGTTTAATTGAATATTAAAACGGACAAATTCAGCTGGAAAGTTCACAGCGCGCGTGGTCCTTATATAATATAAAGTCGAGATAATTGTGTAACTACGTTTTCATTGTAATTGGGTATTGTGTTTCTAACTGAAATTCGACTGTTAATAGCGATAATTTTGTGAAATGCTTTAAACTTTAAAACTTTTAAGAGCGACGAGCGGAGAGAGCTGTTGAAGTGTGTATAGATTTCTATACAAACACGGCAATGAACCGTTACCGAATTTAATAATTAACACTCGAAGATTAATATTTCTTCGATCTAATATGTATATATCAATGTTGTATTTACGTGATCATTATTATTATTGATATTATCAGAAGTTTTCCGTCCAATCAAGTACTTCGTAATATTTAGTATTAACGGTTACTCTTACTGAACTGACATTCGTGATATATTGCACTTGGTACGTAGAAATTGTTACGTATGTTAAAAGTTATATAGTATATAATTGAACTAAGTTGCATAATATAATATTTAATTCTGCAAAGAAGAAAAACTATTTTTAATTAACAATAGAATGCTGATTGCACCATCGTCGGGCAACGCTAATTCCAATTTTTATTTATATGTGGTACTTTATGTGTTAAATTGTAGTGTGAAATTCTTTAATAGCTAATTTAGGATTAATTGAACCAGATTATCGGTACAAATCTAACCTCACGTTTTAAAAATTAATTACTTCTAGGGAAATGTTCAACCGTTGATTATTACTGTTCGGCGTAACGGATTGTCGTGAGAATTGCAGGATACGTGATACGTTTTCTTATTTTCTGTCCCTGTTTTTTTTTCTTATACATTTACTAATTTTAGTAATATTCTCACCATTCCTCGCCGCGAGAGGAAGGTGAAATCACATTACAACATTGCATCCGTCCAGCCCTAGGCAGCTAGCTCTGAACCGGCAAGAAAGAGAGAGGTATATTATAAATATATAAATATATTTATATTTTATATAGTGGTTGTTTTAATATAATATATATATATATATATATAAAGAGAGAAATATATATATATAAATCTCTATGTACGTGTACTTGCGCACGCGTAAGCTTATGAATTCGTACGGCTCGTTTCGCGGAGATCCAGTCGCGCGTTTGTTTTTTTTTTCTTTTCCACCTGAATAGTATTATTATATTTTACCGCTTATGATATTTTTTCCATCATAATTATTGTTATCATGCAGTCTGCATACCTTTATTTCCACAGAGATATTTATGTGACGAGAGCCGGCCTTGTTAAAACGTTCGCGCTGCGAATCGCAACTGTGCAGAATCGTTCTGGATTCTTTCCTGAAAAATAAAAAGATGTTCGTGTGCTCGCTCGCGGAATTTAATTTATTGCCGCGCGGCTCTTGTAAAGCGGCCGCGTGCGTACGAAATTAATCAAACTAGAAATTAAGTCGTAGGTTTACTTGGTAAGACGAACGCAGCAAGATCAGTCGCAACTCCCTAAGTATGCAATACGCTCTTCTGTCGAGACCTGGCCATTTGTTCCAGTATAGTTATGGCAAACATATCGCGATGTGGGCTAAAGTTGTCGCGGCGAAGGTAGTTCTGCGTCAGAGTGAAACCAGATACCCATTAAATCGATAAGCTACAGTCTGTCAGAAGAAGGAAACGAGATCATACCCTCAATTTACTACAAATTGTTTCAAATACAATACTACAAAATATCGAGGTACAAGTTGCACTTCAAAACAAGTGAATCAAAATTTTTTTTTATATTTTTAGGGATATTATATAAATTGGTTTCAGGAACACCGACAGCTACGGTTTAAATCTGGAGAATAATTTTGCAACGCTGTTTCACGCTGGTGCAAAATTATCATTGCAAATGTATTCTCATGTCATCCCACTAAGATTGTTATGATATATTTCGTTTCGTTGTTATCGTTCATTAGATAATGTTTAACTTCTATTATTCATCTAGATGCCGAGCTGATACGACCGATGTAATCATATGTATTGTACATACCTACCTACAAGCGGATATATCTGATATTCACGTTCCGATCCGATCGGAACGATAGATTTGTCACGTTTGCACCAATCTATTTGTTAAGTCGGCTGTTTTTGTAAAGTTCGTACGTACTCGATGATATTACTGACGACGTAATGTAAGTGTTCGTTAAGGACGTGAAAGATTGAATAATAAATGAGTTTCAATAAAATGTATGCATGGCATACTTTGCATTATATCCTGCATGTTCGATTTTTTAGATGTTAATATTCACCATCAATTAACATACCGTATCGATGTAAGTGTTCCAGAACTCCGGCGTATATCAAGGTTACACTGAAAATATTGCGATGTCATATCTCATCCTGAAACCGCATCCTTATCCTTTTCATTGCAGCATACCAGTGATTATGTCATTATGTAATAATATTCGAAGGAAAAAAATTATATTTTTGTATTCTGAAGATATTTTGTAATGCATTTTTTTACAAGATTTCAGCTTTTCGGTATTTGCAGTGTAATCGTATAACGACAACTTGAGGATTTATACATTAAAAAAAATTTTTTAAATGTGACTGATATATTATACTGCTGATTAATAAACAATGAAAATCTATTGAGATGTTTTGTATTATGTAGAAATAATTTAGGAATATAAGGATATAGGAGCACTCTTGATTTTCTCTTTTCTCTTTCAGATGGATTCCACCTGCAACGAGATTAAAACAAAATGCAACACATCATAAAAAAATTAACTTTTATTTATTAGCTTACAGACTGAAAAAAAAGAAAACGCGTCTCTCACGGCAGTTTGTGATAATAATCACGTCGTAGAGAGGACGAATTAGAAAAGACGAATTAAATTCCAAGTTATCGACCATTTTCGCCGGATGCTGCAATCAGATAAGCGATGGCAGCGATAACAATAATCCAGGTTGACGTCGAACTTGCGACAATTAGTATTTACAACGCGAGAGCTGAGGTAATGTTCTACGTACGCGTTCCGCGCGAATCCCCCCCTATCCATTCGAGCACCCGCACTCCTAACATCGTCAAGGTCCGCCGCGAAGGGTCGATAGAGACACCATCGCGAAACGAGAATGCGCATTCGGTCATGGAAAGCCTCCGCGAGTACGAGGACGGCACTAGTCTAGGAACCGACGGACATCCCGCGACACTAAATTGCGCGATCCCACGAAATCACGAGAAACGTACCGAGGAACACTTTTCCAGGTCACGGTTTGATCGGCAGTGACTATCCCATTGCCGGTCGATCGAGCAGAGATTCGAGATTGGGTGGAAATGGAAAAAAAAATATTTGCCTACATTTCTGCGAACTTACCGAGATATGTTCGAGCTATGTCGATTTTTAAATCGACGCAATCAGGTTTGTCGATCTAAATTCTTCTTTAGAAAAATTGTTTACTATTTAAAAAACAATAATTGGAAAATAAATTGCGCTGAGGGAAAATATTTATAATTTATCGGTAAAGATCGGTGATCAATTTCGAATCTCGACTCGATCTTGCGCGAACAACTTAGAAGTATCCGTCCCTATTCTTTGGAGCGCTAGAGATCAATTCCCGTCTTTTCCACACGGGCTGCACGCGTTGATTCTGCGTCGTCGTGATTGCCGAGGAAACGCCGGAGGAAGGCGATATCGCCGACGTAGCCGTCACGCCGAGCGATGTTCTGCCGGCCAGGGTATCGGCGTCCGGTATGTGGCGTGTTTGATGCCTCGAATCCGTGTACCGCCTCTTCGTGTACTTCTTGCTCTCGCTGGAGGTCACCGATGAGTTCTTGCTCATCTGCGGGGTCGCCGGGTCGACATCCGACCGCGAGATTTGCAGCATTCTCTCGATATCAGCGGTCTTGGACCTAAATCACGCGAGCGTTTGCACGTTAGCTTGCACGAAGTTAAATAGAATTTTCACGAACACATTTGCAAAATTATACGAAAGGTCATAGCGCTACGTGAGATCGAAATAACTTGACCATAAAATTATTAAGACAATTCTTAGCCAGGTAAATAAAATTTTTATGAATATCGTAATAATTAAGTTTTAAAATAAGCAAATATTTTTGTAGGAAATTTTGTTTTTGTTGTAATAATTTTAGTATAGTTGATTAATGCTACAAGAAAATCTGATTGAAAACTTGTATCGTCAAATGTTTACTCGTTTATAACTCTCAAACTTTACCTTTCAGGAAAATCGTATACATGAAGCTTTATCTTGAGCTTAAATTTTCTTTATACAGAATGTTTTAGACAAACCGTGTAAAATACCCTACATAATCGAACAAAAGATTTCAAGCTGTTCACGCGATATAGATGTTCATAAACAACAGCAGGTACGCAGAATGATCCTTTAACATACCAGCGTGATCTCTGTATCAATCTCGATAAAGAAATCATTGCGGACACTCAGTGTGTCAGGCAAGCCGCGTGAAAACTTCTCGTGAGACTTCGAGACGCGCGGCGGTAACCGCAGCAGGGAGTAAACAGGATACTCACCTCAAAACCGCACCGCCGATGCTGGTGATGCTCGGCGTGTACGGTACCGCCGCACTCCTGTTCACTTCCTGCTGCTGGCCGGCCGATCTGCTCACCTGCCTCACCTCGCCCGAGGTCGTGAACGAAACTCTTTGAAGAACCGCCTGATCCGGGATGTACGAAACGGCGGTAACAGCGCTGTCGGGACTCGCCGGTGGCGACGATGCCCACGAGGGCGGTGAACTCGGCGCCTGATCACCTGACAGGGTTGCCGAAGAGCCCACGGCGCTGTCACTTCCGTGTCTTCCGCCTGAAAGCGGAGATATTGGGTTGAGACTGAGATTTCGTAATTTTAGTAAGATAGTATATTATCAAGTTTCTTTTTTTACATGTGTTACGTCTAGAATTCGAGATAGAGAAGTAGAGATATTTTTGATACAGAAAATATGAATTGAAAATACTATAAAGAAAATTAAACCTGAATTATGAATTATTAAATATAAGATTGTTTGATCATCCCGAACGTTTAGCCCTTAAAAAGAAATCTAATTTAGAATTGAAAAGAATGTGTGAACATTATTTATTTAGCTAAAACGTTTATTTATTTAGTTCGCAAACCTAACTTTACTTCTTGTTAACTTCTTACTTCTCAATTCTCAAAAGTTTACTTAAGAGTCTATAAATCTGGAAAACTTTATTTCTTTTTAATGGATGTTATATCATCGAGTTGTGCCGTTTATCGCCTTTATTTTTAAATTGATTTGGAATTGAATTAATTGCAGGGAAAACAAAAATCAACGTAAACTGTTTTAAAGTTACAGCGTATGTCACTCTGCAGTTTGAATATATTAAGCATTATTGCAATGCTATCAAATGATGTGAAACACAAACCTTCGCTACAACCGGAAATAGATCTCTGCCTCTGCCGCCTTGGGGGAGCGCTTGGTTGCTTCGGTGCCTCCTCGATGTAAGGAATGTCCGGGTCGTCGAGGTTCAAGGTGAACGCGTCGGACATGGGTATAGTGAGACTGGCGGTAATCACTATTGGCGAGGATCTTCGCCGAGGATCGGACGGATCCTCGCTCGATCCGCTATCGACACTGTTACTTCTGCCCTCCTCCTTCCTTCGACTTCCTGGTCTTTTGGGCCGTCGTGGCCTTGGTCCAATATCACCGCCGATACCGGCAGTCTGATGCAGGCATTCTTCCCTTGTCCACATCTGAAGTAAAAGAGCAATGAATATTTCCAATGAAAAATTTATATTTTACGACATTCTGCACAATGGTAATTTATCAGATTATTTATTACTTTAATTTAAGTTATCCAATATAACTTCCTAATTCTAAATTCTTAACTTTAAAATTTACAAAAACTTTGATTTAAAATAATTTTCAGAATTAGTAATGAAGCAAGTTTTGATATCCTAAAGTTAAATTAGTTTTATAGTCTACTAAGTCAGACACACACATTTTGATAAAATTTGAAATTGCAGAAGTGCGAGAAGTGCGTGAACTTAAAACTTGATTGCAAGAACGTTTCCAATTCTCCAGAATTTATAAGGAACATTTTTAGATCGGCGTTATATTTAGAAAGGTGAGATTATTTATTTATTTATTTAATCTATCCGAATGTTTTTCTATAATGCTTATATACGCGATGCTTCTCAAGAGAGTCTTTGACACACGCCCGTAACATTTACATTTTTAAAGCTAAAGGTCCCGCTTGTTTCTTTCATCATTTTAAGTTTAACTGTAAAATAAATAGGCAAATAATGCACAATAGCACCTTTCTCGTCGATGTCGTCGTCGTTGCTGCAGTTGTGGTCGACATAGTCAACGTCTCCTCCACCGAGAACGTCTCCGCCTCGCTGCAAGGGTCTACTTCATCTCCGCATTGCCTGCAAAAGCATATGCGGAACTTCGCTTCGACTTTCTTACATCACACATTACTAGACCACGATACGCACACACGTGGGGACCATATTCTGCAGCGTGAACGATCGATCGCTGCTCACGGACGGGAGGCTCGGCGCCGGTAGGTCAAGGACAAAATTTATGATTCAAAAATTACTTTTTTATATATATACAATATATAAAATAGCAATAAAATAATTGATGAATATAAAATGTGCGACAAAACCAATAGATAAAGCCATTAACTTGGCGGACTTCGTAACTTGGAGTCTATAGAATCAGCGATATAAAAGTTGAGAAACAACTTTGACAACTTAAACGCGCTTTGTAATTTTTAATGCAACTCACAGCTGTTGTTTTACAACTCTCTTGACCAATATACTTTATTTCAATCATACGGAATATTGTTAAGCATGCCGGATGTTTTGATTTAATAGAATTGATAAAAATAATTATAAAATAATCGAGACATTAGAAAAGTATTCAATAATGAATATTATGATCATTATAACTAATTGATATCTTGATAGATATCAAATTATTAATGACAATGATTCTACTGAAGAAGGTAACAAAATGAAATTCTCGTTTTCGCCATGACAAAGCGTTATTTAGTTACAATTCGGTGAAAATAATCAAATGCCCACGCGTTCGCGACTATCAATCAAAAACCAATTACTTGTGAGATGATGACAAACGAACAAATATGCAATACTCACTCTTCGACGCGACGGGACAAAGCGATATCTAGCTCCGCCGGATGAGTATCCATCATGTGTTGATACACTTCGTCCAACAACGCCGCCGGTACCGTAAACAATGTCGACGCATGTTCTAGCAGTGCTCGTACCACGTTTATTACGTCTATTCTCTCCTCAGCCCTTTCCGCCGAAACCTCCGCCCTCATCTGGCTGGGCTTCACGCAGTGCAAGATATTCGGCGCGAATACCTGGAATATACGATCAAACGTTTTTGATTCGCGTCCAATACGCTCCATTTGGTATATCGATTTAATTAACGTTTTTTTCCCTTGATAACCGCGATGATTGACAGTAGCCGATAGCGTGCGTCGGCTGCTAAATTAATTAATTTTACACTTTGCCTGGGATCGCAGTGTAATAATTTAATTAACATAAATTGTAAAATCTTGTACAAAGCGTAGAAGCAAAATCAAAGTTAATTTACTAAGCAATTTCTAGATCAAATATTTTTTAAGCAATATTCCTTTATCTCTGTGCGTGTGAAAGACGAAGAATATATTTGCAGAATAATTGCAATTGATCTTACTTGATTTTTGAGAAATATATTTCTGGCATAAAAAAATCACGGAGAGATTTTTAGATAAATGAGAATATTGGAGGTGCTTTTATGCAAAAAACGATGTCAACTCAACGAATTAATTAAAAATCAATCAAAGGGAATCCGAAATATGCAAAAGTTCAATCTTTAGCTTAGAATTCCACCAACGTGGATGGAAAGTTCTATCTTAAAAGAGAAGTCAACGAGGTGCAATGCGCGGTGAAAAAAGAACGGTACGGATATTGGAAAGAAATCAAAGTCGAAGAGTGCCATGCAATATACTGACGGTCGCGAGATTTGTCGTATCCATTTTATTCCCCGGAATCCACTCTCCGCTCTCGCTCTTTTGGTCCTCGCTGTTCGCCGCGACGACGATCAAGAAGTTCAGAAGCGCCCAAAGAGTCTCGCGATTGGGCGTGGGTAGAAGTTGAATGAGATGCTGAAGAGCTTCCTGCTGCAACCGCCTGTTCCTGATCTCTAGAAAAACATTTAAATGTTCCGCTTATCTCACGCGCTCTCGATGAACGCACGAAAGTCGGAATATTGGAAATTCGTAGGCGGAATTGCAAAGAGAAAGATTGCGGAAAATGAGTGATGGCTCGGCGCGCAAATCAATTTAGAACCGGCAATGCGCAAATTGAGTTCGAGCTATCGATTACGAGCGAAGCTAAGACAAGAGCGGATAACGCTTTTAGCGGCTTACGTCGCATTAAAACTTGATGCTTGCTTACTTTGAGTGTGCACAAAGGCTTGATACAAATCCCTGCAAAGTAGGGGATCCGGCAGATCGCGAAAGTATTCCTTTAAGAGAGTGGCCACGTCGTGAGGACATTGATCGGCGCCTATCTTGGTCTCCCGACCGCAATCGAAGTCCTCCCTTAACTGGAATTAATTGCATGTCACGCTTAGGATTTGCGCAAAAGATACACTTATTCTGAAAGATATTTACCAACTTCCGTAAATGTATTGAGTCACTTGAGATAAAAGTGGACACTAATTTCTACCTTCGAGATAATATTGGTTTTTTATTTGATAAATATTTTATTTCTATCGACGATCGTAATACGCAGTAATGGACAGCATTATGAGGACATTAAAAGAAAATCCAATAGCACGTACAGATAATAAAAAATATATATCTGGATATCGTCTGAAAAAATTGTCAATTTTCGACTTAAGTCCACATTAACTCGAAATTGCTGGTTGAAATACTAATTACATTAATTTTTTTGCTAATGAAAATGTATGATTTTCGTATATGTTCAGCATTTGCATTTCATCGAATTTTTCAAAAGTAAAAATATAAAAAAATACACTTCTCTCGAAAAATATACATAGAATGTGATTACAAGAACAATTACGCATACTATAAAAGAATATTAATCGTCTCGCAGTATTTTTTAAGAAAAAGCATTCCAATATTCTTCTAAAATTTCGTATATGAAGATTAATATCAAGATGCTCTTTTCGTTATGAAGAAAAAAAAGTATCTCGTACCTGCCGCACCCTCTTTTTCGAGGGCGACACACGAAACACGCCTAGCGTCCGGAGACCAGTCGTTTCTAGGTGCTTAATGCATTGCCTGACGATACCCGGCACCGCATCCCATTCACCTCCTCCACCGCTATCGCTCAGCTCAAGCACTCCGGAGTCACTGCCTGTAAGAGCACCTCCTTTCGACGACAGAGACTCGCAGGAACCACCCTAGTTCAATAAAGGAAAATGTTATTTGCGCAAGAGAAAAAATAAGTGGAAATAAAAAAGACGGGAGTTGAAGCTTAAAATACCGAGACATAAAAAAAAAATTACTGACTTTTTTTCAATAAAATATAAACTAGAATGTACATCAAATTCGAGATCTGATATATAAAGTTACATGTTTAACTTTATAAATCAGAAGCATAAAGGATATTTTATCTTTCTACGTTCTCTATTTAAGGTTTATGAGAAAAATTCTATAAACGCGCTGTATTTGATTGATTTTTCTAAGCTTTCTAAAAAGATTAACCGGCTTAAATGCACGCAAAATGCATGCCATATTCGAGCAACTAACAAACGATTCGCTGCCTTCGTCTGGGAATCGCTAAAATAAAGCCCCTCGCGAAATTGAGGATTCTTAATTAATCCGCGGTTAAAATTAGCGGTCCCGTTCCCGTTCTATTCGCGTCTCTGATCTATGATGTCACCTCGACGGACGCGGGACACGCACGTGACGTCGGCACGAGAATTTCTACGTCGTCCTCTTTGCGTCGCATGTACACGATCGATCAATCGTGTTAGGCGTGGTCTCGCGAAGCTGCCAAGAAGAACGATGGCAGAGATAGACCGATTACATCTTCGATGATACTTTTCTAATTCCAAACACGATTTGAATAAATTTGTCTTCATTCTTTTACGTTTTTAGAATAGACGGAACGAATCGAAACTATTTTAAAATTCTTCCGATAAAAGCAATTTCGCCGTCAAATTTTTCATGAAACTCATCTTTTATCAAATTTTATGATAATGACCGGATCACAGCATACGGATGCTATCGCGTATAGGATTGTATCATAGCGTATAAAGTTACGTGGCGTTCATTTAATCGCGCAATTTTTTGGGGTGTAATAAGAACTGGTCGTAAAGGCTTCGGCTTCGCTGACACAAAACCGATCTCCTCTTCTTCCTGCTTTATGTTAACCGGTTAACGTCCTTTATCGATCAGCCGGAAGTAAACCGCAACGCACACGTGCGAGGGCGGCGGAGATATTATAAAATATATCGGTGCTATTTCTGCCGATGAAGCATAGATATTTCGGGTCCCGCGAACAGCTGATTTAATTTCTGTGGTTGTAAAAATTTCAAGTGCAACCGACACATTAATTTCTAGATACGTCGGCAAAGTCCCTTTATTACTCTGTGATTAATTATTTCGTTTGATTCTATAAAATAATATTCTGTTTTTCTTTTATATATTTTTTCTTACTATTTTTAATATGTGTTTTAATGGAAATTTACTTCTTTAATTTTTTTCTGTTTAACATATTTTTATTCAATTATTGTATTGTCAAATTTTTAAGAAAATTTATATTTCTGATACGAATTATTTATGTTACTTTATTCTATTGTATTACAACTTATTATTTAGTGGCTGCTTTATTTTCTTCTCTGTCAAGCGCATATGGTTAAACAAGTTGTTCTTCGATTAGACATTGATAGATTCGTACCAATGGAGGGATGTCTGTTTCCTACACGTAACTTTATACATGCGTATAAATGCGTAAGCATATATACAATGTGTTCCATTAATATATTTACATCCTTTCGACGGATTATTTAATAACCACAAGTTTTTTATTTTCAGCATTAAATATTACAGTGATTAAGTCTTGAGTTGAACAGACTTTTGAGTAATCTTACGTAAAACAAATTGAAAGAACAAAATTTTATCATGTTTTTCATGTTTATCAAGTTTATCTCGTTCAGAAAATCTTAACTTCCCTCGTTGTAAAAATAATAATTTGTATTCCGAGGACCATCAATATCTGAATGATGTGATTTTATAGTTATTTTATAATTCTACCGTAAAACTCGTCCTTTACATATTAACTGGAACTGTAGGTGTTTCTCCGCGGTTGCAAGGAAACAGGATAATTCTGCGACACTTGGTATAGAAACGAACGGAAAACCGTAGGTGGAACGAACCAATTTCCTTCGATCGCTCGGAATAATGACGTACGTCAGTATCGGCTGTCGCGGTGAGCGCGTTGCGGATATGCGTCAGTGCATTCGCAGCACCCAATTCAAATTCGCGGCGACGAACGAATGTAAAATTGTAAAGCTTGTCTTGCAGCCCTTTCGCCGCCACTGTTTCACTATTAACCTCGTCTCTCCGGCACGAATCCGATTTATCTCGAAGGAGAAAAAAAGGAGGATGTCGCTCGATTGGTCCGGGTTTATACGTATGTATACGTCACGGCGTTTAATGTCACACGGGATTTATCGCGGGCTGTCCTATAAAGACGAAGTTCACGATATCGATTCGGTTTTCTTTCAGTAGCCACGGCAGAATTTATAGCCACCTGAGAGAACGGTAATGCCGCGGATAATCTTCGCTCTTAAAGAAGACGCATGGCGAGATGTGTGACAGTAAAAAACAACTTGCATTTAATGGAGCTTAAAGAAGAAAAGACTCGAGATTTCGAGAAAGAAACTCCGTAAGAGCTTCGACATTTCGAAAGAGCTTCGTAATTTCGCCATGATTAATTTATACATCGTTGCTTTGCATTCGGCTGTGAGATACAAATTGAGATATTTTTATTTTGTCGACACGCTCGTCTGTTAAATTAGCGCTGTTCTTAAAAGGAACTCGTGAAGTCATTATATTGCGGAGTCATATAAAATGCAAAGTTTAGATTCAATTAAGAGAGTAGTTAGTGAAAGCATAATTGTAGCAGAAGTTCTCTGAAGTATCATATTTCTCAGAATATTATTGCTCTTATAATGAACAGCGATACAAAATGGGAGTTCACGCATTGCATTATATTGCAATGATTAATTGAGAAATTCTTATACAAAAGAGCCAGCGCACCACGCTTTCCAGCAGCTGGCGAAGTCACTGCGCGCCGTGAAAACGGAAGTTCACAGTCGCTTAATTGCTGCTGCAGATGCACTCTTGCTTGATACAGTGCTTCCTGAAGGGCTCGATAATAATCCAGTTCCAAGAACTGTTTTCAGCCGCTGCCGCGTAGTAACGACATGACGTTTGCGATATTGCGATCGGAAGTTTTGATCAAAAAAGTTATCGCAACATCTTCGCGGCAAAATAACATATAACTTATAATAATAACAACGGTACTTACATGAATTCTCCGCAAAGGAAACAGAAATTTTCCGCTGCGTCATTTATCTGGAGGAAAGTAATACAATGTATGATGGAGCCGCGGATCGTAAATACCGTCAAGAGAAGAAAGAAGTCGTATCTTCGAAGATAACTTTCCAGAAAAACACTTTCGCGAAATCGTAATTTGATTATATAATATGACCGCGTTACCGTAGGTTACGGTCGAAGCCGCAATTCCGACGGAGTCGGACATCGATACGCGATCGTGTATCGAAAATAATATCCAGAAGCGCACCGACGGCCTGCTTAAAATAACGATGAACGCCCGACGTTCTCGAGCAAAGCATAAAAAAATTTTGTTTTCTGCTCAGGTGGCGGTGTTTCTGAAGTCAAATTATTCACTTCCGGCTGGAAGGGGAGAAAGCCGGAGATTTGTCATATCCAAAAAAAGAAGGAAGAGTTACAAAATAGAACGCAGTACTATTTTTGTGCTGCACATCTTTATAATAAAAATAAAAATGAATAGCAAAGAAGTGTTTAGAGTAAACTTTTCCTTGGCAAAAATTTAAGAATCTACTCACGGCAATAAGCCAAGTTCTGTTGAATTTCAAAAGTTAAAGAAAGGCGCACGATTCCATCGGAATAAAAAGAAAAAACAAGAACCTTTGTCCTCACAGATTCAATGTCTGGAAGTTTGAGATTAAATTATCTAGTTATTTATTGTTGAAAATTTTCAATGTTAAAGAATGATCAAACAACTCGAATTTTTAATTAAAAAATTCTTACGAATTATATTCGTAAAAATATTAAATAAATTTTATTAAAAAGTATCTTTCTAGATTATTGTCAATTGTAATTTAGTAATAACACATTAAATATACAAAACAGTCAAAGCTTAATTAATTAATTAATTTTTAAATTATTATAAGAACGGAATAAAGAAATGTTCGTTTTTGCATGTAAGTGCACGATATAGAAATTAATTTTTTGCATTAATCCAAGTCTAGATCGACCATTTCTAGACGGAAAGTGCAATACAGAATACATGAACGCGTACTCGTGGCCATCGGTCAAACGTATCCGTCGAAAAATAACCACTTGCAAACTCTCGACGTCTGGCCCGCGTCGCAAGTGGTCATCGATAAACCTCTTGCGCCGACAGCACGATGACGCAACGAATGATGCCGTTAACGATGTCGGCGTTAGAGTGACGTCGGCAAGAAAGACGTGTCGCGCGCCGATATTTCGACATCGGTCGATAGTTTTGGGCGTTGTTCAAGTCGATTTTTATTCGCGCGCTAGCCTTAAACATTACTCCGTATGTGAGATCGAGAATGAATCGTCTTGAATTTTTCCAAGATTATAGACATGCTCTTCGCGAATTGTCTCTCTCTCTTTCCTAGCAGGTTTATTATAAGAGCTAAGAATTACATAAATTCCGCACTTTGTAGTGTACGTTGCCGTTTTACGCTTCTATATTTGCTCGCCGCCCGCGGCGCATCTTTAATGGTCGGTCGATCAGTTGCCAAGCTTTACCACTCGAAAGAAACTTTCGTAAGTAATACAGGTCAACGCCTTGAACAGCATGGAAGTCGATATACGGCGCAGATATAATTGTGGATACTCGCGTCTCTTCTTCAACGTTTCCCTTCATTATTGTCATGATTTTAATAAGAATTGTCTTTAAAAAATATACATTTCCGAAAATATGGAATATTTAGAAATAATCCGCCCAAAAATAGGATATTCGAAGGTAGATGAAACGTCAAGCCAAAATTATTCTCTAGTAATTTCTTACCTCTTCCGTTTTTGCCGCGATGGTCGTCGGTGTTTCTATAAGGCTGGAAAAACTGGTCCTACTACCGTGCCTGCTGCTCCTACTTAGGCAGCCGACATCGGTGACCTCCCCAGCGGCAATTCGAGCGATTCTATCATTCTCTATACACTGCAATAACGGTATACCGAACACCAGACCGCCAGCCACGTCTGCAAGCAAGAAAAAAAGATAAAAATTTCAGCGGTTTCTACAATTTCTTCGAAAATTTTAATAACAACATAAATAAAATTAATTGATGTTTCGTTAAGGAATTGAATTCTGTTGAAAAACATAATTAAGTATAAACGTGATTAATGTTTAACATTATGATAATTATTATTATCGAGTGCGCTAGCATTTTAGCTATTTATTGTATATGATTTCGTCAGTAAATCTCTTTTTCCGGGTAATCCATAATCTCCTTGATCGCTTGGCGAGCAAACGAGCAACGTGAGATCAACATCGATCTGATCTACGAGCCGCCAGCTGCACGACTCGACAAATTTGCGTATATGCGTGCGTACTCTGTGCATAAACAAGCCTCGCATCGACGCGATAGTGTCACGCTGACTGCTAATTAGGCTCATTAAAGAAAATGACTCCATCGAAAATAATTTTAACGGCTTGCCGTGTCGCATCATATAGCACATTGATTATTTTCCTCGAAGTACGACTTGTTTCATTGATTTATTATAATATATTTGTTTTAATATAATATAGAAAAATGTCTGTAAAAATAAAATCATTTCTGCAAGCGTTTTGTCGCACAAAAATATTTATAGCACGGTGTTTAAGAAAGTGATTTATTTTGAATTTCAACTCTTTGCTAAAAATTATTAATTTGTCATTTTATTATTAATTTTGAATCTTTTTTTTTTTCAGCGCAATTGTACACGGTGTCTCAACTCAGCGGCACTACTTCTGCTATAATGATCCAGATTTTCTACATTAATGCCGCTAATTCAATACGGCTTGAGATATTTTAGCAACCCGATTGCCGACATGCGGAGCAACAGGGTTTTCATAGAAACGACGTGTTTAATGTGACACTAATTAACATCAGCGTCTCACCCACCACGTATTGCGCATCGCGGCCAAAAACGTATTCCACGAGGCACAGTGTTGCCGTCCACAGACAGACGCGGACCTCTTAGTCTGCCCACGCACGCTCCTCGCGTCGATCGCGATATAAAAGTCAGGTAATTCGAAGCACATTCGCAGCGAGCGCCCGTTGAGGGCCCGCAGCTTCTTCTCACACATCAGCCTGTCTTCGATTGTAAGCGTCAGAAGCGGGGAAAATTACACGAGCGATTCTTACAATTCACGGTCCGCGTAAATGACTCTTCGTCAAGGGGAGTGCTTCAGTTCGATGAGGCACACTCATCGCTATCGGTTCGATATATCCACGTAGAGTGATTGCCAACGATTGTATCTTTCCAAGGCTCCGAACCATTTTCTCAGCCGCCTCTGTTCGTAATCGTTCCACGTTTCCACATGATATTTCGGACTTACGTCTATTCGCGCGGATTCTATTTTCGCGTTACGTGCGATTTTCCTTGCCTCGGACGTCATTCGATTAATACTAGTAATTACTCTGTTTTAATTAAATTGGTTTCGGTTTTCCGTCAATGTTTTGACTGGCCGCGAATACTTAGTCGCATATTAGCGTAACGGTATTTCCGCCAGTAATGACTTCACGGAAGCCGCCTCTCGGTTTTCAACATGTTCGACGTGTCTTGTATACACACATTCCGCAAAAAATTAACAAGATGTTTTTCTAGAGCCGGTTTTTATCAACGACGCAATTTTCCGCAACTTGGAGTTGAAGTCGAAGAGACGTTTGAGAGACAGACGGGTCAGTCACGATCGAGGGAAAGCGCTGTAGTTTCGTGGTCGACCACTTCTCGAAGAGCCAGCTGAAAACCGAAAGGCAATAAACCGTGTCCCTATACCGGGTCCGATTATAGACCGCGATCTGGGCCATCTCGGCTTCTCTCTTTCTTTTGCGCTCTCTTTCTCTCTCTCTTTCAAACTTCGGAATGTGCTTCTCTCTCGAATGAGCGTGAAACGCGCGAGAGCCACTTTACGAACTACAATGTGCGAAGAGAACGAGGCCTTTTCTTGGAAGCGTCGAAACGATCGGCATCGATCGTCAACACTTCGCCACCCCCGTACGATGTGTCCGGCGATGGTTGGGTACGTATTTAGACGCGCGGAGTGCGAGCATACGGACATTGCGCGTATAAATATCTTCGGTGTATCTTGTTGCACACACACGTTTAAATAATTGACATTTCCTGATAGGTGTATTTATACGTAGATGCAACTTTGTTTATCTGTGTATTTTGATCGCTTAAGATACTATGTGGGAAATTTATGGACTTAGATTCACGTGCTGTTCTACGGCGTGATTCGACGAGAGCGTTTTAACGCCTCTTCCAAGAATTGTCACGCGACTGTCAAGCAGCCTGCTCATCAATCTGCCGTAGTTGTTTTAAAATTTTAATTTTGAGCACTTAGCGTTGGTATTGTTAAGTTTGATGTCATTATTTTGAGAAACATAATTATTTTAAATTAATTACATTTTATTTTAATACTAAATAAAATTATAAATTTATTTTAATTGTCATAAATAGAATTTTTTAAATTATATTTTACTTTCTTTTTTTCCTTCTTTTTTCTAATATTTTGCACTTTATTTTTCAGAGACGGATAAATAGCTATTCCACTCGTTATGTGGAAAGATGGATTTTCGGGACACAATTGTGCATCGCAAGATGCGTGCGGCCGGGCGAGAGGGACACGCGAGCGGTGCATTAAAGGGAGTGAGCGACCTCGCTTACTCTCGCCGGCGAGGAGACTCCCGATTGACGTCTGGTGTCCCTACGCATGGGCACTTGTACCCAGCGCGCACGAACCGCAAATAAACCTGATATATGCGGAAATATGCACCGCTACTGAGCACCCCGTGGCTAATTTTAGCCGGCGAAATTGTGTCTCATACCAGCCTGGCCGGCCGATGCTGTTGCATCCGCCTCTCGCCTCTCCGCTGCACATGGCTCAATAGAAGGTACTGAAATTTTATATTAATTACTTTGGAGCTGATCGATGGAAGAATGTTAATCTTTCTCAATGATACTCTAGCGAAAATACATAAATTAGTTTTGTATATAATTTGTTTTTGTTGAAATGTTATGCACTTGAAATTGAACTGCTTTTGTTTGGTTCATTACATTTTTATTACCGAAAATAGCGATTCTTATATTTGTTGAGATGGGATTTCTTGTGAACATTGTACATTATGTCGAATAGTGTATACCGTGTTTGTATTTGCAATGAAACTCATGTTCTCAGTTCAGGCAATACGGAGAGACGTGCGCCACTAAAACTTTAGATGGCAGACCGTTCAACGCTGTATAGCTGTATAGCTGTCCGAGCTGATTTGTTTGTTACAATACTCGCAGCAGATTCTTATTTGAAATTTCACGAGTAGTGAGAAAGTGTAGCGCAAACAGCGTCGTAGCGCAAAATTGCGCGCCTACACCGCGCATAATTAGTTCGCTCGAAATGTGGCGGAATGAGAGCACGGTAAACATGCTAATGTCGGATTGCACCGGGCACATTTTTAGGTAGAGTTTTGAGAAATTACTTGCAGTTTTATTTGCCCACGCAGCAACTCCGAGAATCTCGACGAAAAAAGGTTGCTTTATGCGACCTACAAAAGTGTCTAATTTGCATTTCGCGGAAGCTGTAATATCTGTGAATAGCGTAATCTCCGCTCGTGCCTGCGGAAATAATTTCCCAACGGAGAATTTTTGCATTAGAGCATTATTGTTCTGATATAATATAACGAAAGTATCAATATCAACTCATTAGTTTTATGTCTTACTCATTTGACTTTTTTAACAATTTATTTAGTATAAATAATTAAGGTGAATTTATTTTTTACGTATTTTGATTTTCAGGAATGAAAAACAAAGTTGTGTTGCAAATTTTCAATATTTTTCTTGCAGAATTTATGCTGTCCGTTTTTTATTTATATACGTAAAAGTTGAATTAAGACGAAAAAATGCAGAGTTCAATTTTGTTTTGTAGCATAGAACACAATTTATATCTTTTTTTTTATCTCATGCAAAACACAGACCGCAATTGTAAATAATTTATTATAATGGCGGTAAAAGTAGGAATGCATGTAAATCGCATTCGCCAATGGTTTACTTGACTTACTTTTTCGCAATGACCAAGCATGGAATTCGACACAACGGGACTAAAGACGGCCGGCCGAAAATAGATGAAGAAAGTTGTCCCAAGAACAATATTTATCTTTGTTGCGGTAGATGAAAATATATATCACACGTACACGCACTAACGCGGGAATGTCGTAAACGTATCAAGTGATAGAGCACTCCACCGAACTTCGGGGCGAGCGCTATTGCGTCTGTCTGAAAATAACTGAACTAGTTATTCTCCAAACAAATAATTGCGCCATAAATTACGCCCGTTAAATACGTGGCTTTTCACACATTAAACTGCGCACGTCGCACTTAATTATTGACTCGCCCGAACAAAATTTCCGCGATTCGCCGCTTCCCCGGAGCAGTCACGATGAATTTTAGAATGCGCGTTCTACGTTCAGAATAACTTCACGCATATAACATTTCTCCGTATCAAAAATTGAAGATCGGAAAAAATATCTTTGTTGAAACAATGAACGAATTCAATACAAGTTCTCCGAAAGAATGAGATCACATTTTACTATGGAGAGGCGTGTTTTACTATTGCTCGTGATACGTAAAGTTTTATATATTGCATTATAACATATCATATAAAATTTTAATCATTGGATAAAGAATTATCGCCGAGAGAGAGAGAGAGAGAGAGAGAGAGAGAGAGAGAGAGAGAGAGAGAGAGAGAGAGAGAGAGAGAGAGAGAGAGCGTAGTAGTAGTAGTAGTAGTAGTTAATTACGTACTACCTACGTACGTACGTACG